TACATTTTGGGATCCTCCAAGACCAATGTCTCTGGCTGTTCCTGATTTGTATGTTTTATAATACAAAACTATAACAATAAGTGCAGTGATTTCCCAAGTTCTATGAGTCGATCTAGTGAATTATTGAACCTGAGGGGTAGTGAGAACACTCAAATGTGCAGCCAGTTGGCCAGAAGTGTGGATGGCCTGGGAACACCAGAGCTTGTAGCTTGTATCTGAAGTGAGGGAGCTCCATGGAAGACTTTGCCCTTAACCTGTGATGTCTGTTAACTCCAGACTAATTTTATAGTTTCAGAATTGCATTGCAGTTTCAACTGTAATTGTGGATTTTTCTGTTTCTTCTTTTTGAAGCTCTGTTGATGTGCGATTACATTTAGGATTATGTCTTCTTATGAATTGACCCTCTTATCAGCATATTTGGTCCTCTTTGTCCCTGGAAATTTTCTTTGCTCTGAAGTCTATTTTGCCTGATATTAATGAAGAGAGTCTGTTCTTTTAACCCAGAAAATTATCATTTGTTAAGCTTCATTCATTCCTGAATATTCCAGTTTTCCTTATGAAAATAAGATTTGAGCTTCTTAAATCTAGGTTTTTCACAAAATTTGAGAATTTTGTAACCAATAGTCATGTGCCACATAACAATGTTTCAAATGACGGGCTGCATATATGATGGTGGTCCCATAAAATTACCATCTTTTTTGTCACCTAGGCTGGAATGCAGTGGCACAATCACAGCTCACCGCAGCCTTGACCTTCTAGACTCAGACGACCCTTCTGCCTTAACCTTCCCAGTAGCTGGGACTGCAGGCACACACCACCACATCTTGCTTTTTTATTTTTCAAAGACGTGGACTCTCGCTATGTTGCCCAGGCTAGTCTTGAACTCCTGGGCTCAAGCAACCCGCCCACCTCAGCCTTCCAAAGTGCTGGGATTACAGGCATGAGTCATCACACCTGGCCTAGTATTTTTACTGTAACTTTTTTTAGATACACAAATACCATTGTTACAACTGTCTACAGTACTTAGTACAGTAAAATGCTATCCAGGTTTGTAGCCTAGGAGCAGTAGTTATATCATATTGCCCAGGTGTGTAGTAGGCTATACCATCTAGACTTGAGTGAGTATACTCTATGATGTTCACACAACAAAATCGCCTAATGATGATTTCTCAGAATGTATTGTCATTAAGCAATGTATGATTTTCAATTCTTTTTCAGCACCACACTTTCTTCATTCTGGAACTCTGATAGCACCAATGTTAGATATTTTAATTATTGTCCCATAGGTTTCCGAAGCTCTGTCCATGGTTTTTTTCCCCTAATCTTTGTTTTTCAGATTAAATTCTATTGGTTTATCTTCAAGTCACTGACTCTTTCCTCGGTTCTATAATCTAGAGATTATTAGTGAATTTTTAACTTTTGCTATTGTATTTTTAAGTTCTAAAACTTCCATTTGATTATTTTTTTACATCTTCTATTTTTTTGCTGAGATTTTTTTCCTCATCAGTTTCAAGAGTGTTCATGATTCCTTGCTGGAGCACTTTTATAACTGTTTAAATGTCTCTGTCAGGTGATTCTAACATTTACATCTCAGTGCTGGGATCTGTTGAGTGTTTTTTTTTTTTTTTTTTTGCGAGGGGAGAAAGATGAGTGTCTTCTCCCATGAAAGTTGATATTTTTCTGTTTCCTAGTATGTATGCCCAGTAATTTTGTATTGTATCCTTGACATTTTAAACATTGTTATTAAACTTTGACTCTTACTTAAGTCCTATGGAAAATACTGTTTTAGTTTGATTCATTGGCATTCTGATTAGGTTCAGGCATCAAGTCCCAATCTGCCTTCTGTGGGCTGTGATTCCAATGTCAGTTCAACTTTCAAAACTTTTACAGTGCTATTTGGACTCATCCATGTGAACATCTCCAAGTTGCCAGTATAGGATCTGGATGTTGGCGTATCTGTTAGTCCAGTTCTCAAAGTCTTTGGCATGCTGAATATGATCAGATCCATATGCATGTGTAGCTTAGAGGTGAACCCAGAAATACAACAACTTTTTGGTGTCACTTTTGTCAGTGTTCCCACTATTAACATTGCCATTAGTGCTACAGGGAATTTAAAGAGGTAAACAATAGGGGTGCAATAAACATTAAATAGGAATTTTGTTTTCTTTTTCATTTTTTAGACAACAGAAGGGTAAAACCTATTATTGCTCTTGGGCCATTAATTTCTTTCACATTTCACTTACTTTAAATTCGTTTTATAAATACTTTCAAGACTATTACCATAATATAGTTATCCATGTCAGATTTTTCTAAGAGTAACAGAAGATACCAACTATAGAATGCTGCTAACATGTCTCTAATCAATGACTTGCTATGACTAGAAGATTTTATATTTTTAAGATAAATCGGCAGGCTAGGTAATCCCTGGAAGGCAGAAGCCAACCCTTCATAAGAGAACATATGTAGCCTAACAACAAAGTTTAATGGACTCTGTGCTCTAAGAGTGGGTCTCTGCAAGCAAAGAACAAAATCAAATTATCTGAGCTGCTAACGATACCAAGAATCTCAATTACTACAGTGACTGCTTGGACTACCTTAGAGACAACATTTAATTAAATGTATCACAAAATAGTTTGCTAAAAATCAATCTATAAAAAGTGTGATTATGGCACTCAGAATTACTTCCTGATAAAATACTCAGGGTATATGTGGCACTACAATATTCAGAATATACTACTGAGGTTTTACTAAGTATATGGTCTGAAAGAGATTCAATATTTTTAATCATCAACTAGTTCTCTTATTTTGTACAGACACAAATAAACCCAAGTTTTAGACTTAAGGATTTCTGTTTCCCCTGACACAAGTACAGTAAGTATACTCTCCACAGATGCAACTTTGTTTTGCCTTCCAGCTACCAAAAATGGCATTTAATAACAGGCACTGCTCAGCAGAAAAGACACACATAGCCGGCCTTGGTGGCTCAGCCTGTAATTCCACGCCTTTGAGAGGCTGAGGTGAGTGGATTGCCTGAGCCCGCGGGTTCGAGACCCGCCTGGGCAATTTGGCGAGACCTCATCTCTACAATAAATCAAAAAATCAGCCGGGCGTGGTAGCGTGCGCCTGTAATTTCGGTTACTCGGAAGGCTGAGGTGGAAGGATTGCGCCCAGCAGGCCGAGGCTGCGGTGGCCGGGAGCGGCCACTGCACTCCAGTCTGGGCGACAGAGTGAGACTCCAACTCAAAAAAAAAAAAAAAAACAGACATTACCTATAAATAATAATTCCTTTAAAATTATGAGAAAACCTATTATAAGCTGGTTATTCATATAACCTTTGCCTGAAAGATGGTAATCATAACAATAATAGTAATAAAAATAGCTACAATTTAGTAAGCTTTACTATGTTCCAAGCGCTATGCTAAAAGCTTAAAATTGTTCATGCTGCTTAATCCTTTTTTGAGTTGGAGTCTCACTCCGTCGCCCAGGCTGGAGTGCAGTGGCACGTTCATGGCCACCCCAGTGTTGACCCTGCTGGGCTCCGGTGATCTTTCCACCTCAGCCTTCCAAGTAGCTGAAACTACAGGCATGCACGCTACTGTGCCTGGCTAATTTTGTTTATTTTTTATTATAGAGACAAGATCTTGCCAGGTCGCCCGGCCTGGTCTCAAACCTGCGGCATTAGGCAATCCACTAGTCTCGACCTCCGAAAGTGGTGGGATTACCGGCTGAGCCCACCGAGCCTGGCCAATGCTTAACCCTTCTAACAGTCCTATGGGGAAAGTACTATTGCAAGCCCAATTTCAAAAGACGAAAATGAAGGCTGGGAGCAGTATCTTGTCTAAGACCACAAAGTCAGGAAATACCGGAGCCAAGACGAAAATCCAAGCAGCCTGACCTGCAACTTCTGCTCTTAACCACTCTGCTGTGAATCATAAGGAATCAAAGAACTCAGATACCAGTCCCTCCTTCGCAGATCATCTCTATGGTGTTCAAAAAGATGTAGGTGTGTTTCCAAAATGGCGGCAGCGAAGGATGTGGATACCCCGAGCGGCACCAACGGCGGCGCGGGCAAGAAGCGCTTTGAAGTAAAAAAGTGGAGTGCAGTAGTCCTCTGGGCCTGGGATGTTATAGTTGATGACTGTGCCATCTGCAAGAACCACATTATGGATCTTTGTATAGAATGACAAGCTAACCAGGCATCTGCTACTTCAGAAGAGTGTACTGTTGCATGGGGAGTCTGTAACCATGCTTTTCACGTCCACTGCATCTCTCGTTGACTCAAAACATGACAGGTGTGTCCACTGGACAACAGAGAGTGGGAATTCCAAAAGTATGGGCACTAGAAAAAAGGATTCTTCCATCAAGCTTAACTGTTTTGTTACTTAATGACTTGCCCTCCTGTAACTTAATTATAAAATAGATAAAACTGTGTCTTTTCCGCTTTGTCTTTTCAGTTTGCTTTTCCTGCAGCCTTATTGTATTCTGTGTCAAATAAAGTCCAGTTGGATTGTAGCAAAAAAAAAAAGATGATGTACATTAGAAAGAAAAAAATGTCACTAGCCGGGCTTGGTAGCACGCGCCTGTAGTTCCAGCTACTTGGAAGGCTGAGGCGGAAGGATTGCTGGAGCCCAGCAGGCCGAGGCTGTGGTGGCAGGGAATGGCCACTGCACTCCAGTCTGAGTGACAGAGTGAGACTCCAACTCAAAAAAAAAAAAAAAAAAAAAAAAGGTCAAACCTCCCTGTTCCCAATCCCAGTGATCTCATTAGTTTTGAGGGAAGGAATCAAAACAACCCTACAGTATTTGATGTTACTTTTCTAATTCAAGAAACCAATCTAGCTAGTAACAGCTCAGAAAGTTATGTAATAAAAAGTACTAATAAAAATAACAAAAAACGTGCTTTCAAGATCACTAGGCTCACTTTAGACCGAATGCATACAATATATCCCAGTCAAGAAATCAATAATTTTGGATAAGTCAAAAACTTCAACAGAAACAGCATATATTTATGTAGTATTTTATTTACTGACCTCTCTGAAACATGCCAAAATTCATATGGTTAATGGAACTTACCACGCTAAAATGTTGCTCAACATGACAAATTTCTAAAAAAATATTTTTAGTGCCTTCATTTCACTCTTTAGGAATCAACATATGAACATTACATTTAGGTGGTAAAATTCAGGTCACAGATATAAAATAAACATCAAATAATACCATACTTGTGGTTTATTGGAAAACAACAGATCACTGTGATGTCATGCCTAACACCTTGGTTAAGTAGAGAGAAAATGGGCAAGGACGTATGCAAAGATCTGACAGTTTTATAATCCTTAGCCCTTCTGAGAAACCACAGATGGGAAACAGGTAGTAAATATTTCTGTAATATGGTGGTTTCAGTTCATTATAGTGATCATCATTCTCCTCATGCATTCAAGTAACTGCTGCTGTTTCTGTTTTAATGAAAACCAGATTCAAAGTCACTGCTCAACAAGCTGATACTACAAATCCCTTACATTAAAAGATAGTTTAAAGCTGGAAAGTTTAAGGTAAAGCATACTTGTTATTCAGTTACTTGTAGATATAATCCAGACTATGCTACTTTACATAATTAGGTATACAGTATAACTATGCATAATACGGCACAAAGTTAATTCCATTTACCATATTTTGTATTTTTGGTCATCAACAGCACAAATTATATGTCTCAAAAGAAATATATCACTCCAAAGAAATGGTTACATTTAATTTTATTTTAAAGGCAAATGAACTAAATTTAAGGAAGAACTGGCTTTTCATCTCATTTTCAAATTACTGATACAAATTCGCCAGACAGTTATATATTTTACCCAACATCAAATGATCTGCAAAAAGTTTCCAAGCTGGCTACATTTCTTGTTCAATTTTTAAAAATAAAGGTGTTCTAACTTAAAGCCTTTACATTCCTAGCTCTACAAAGTAAACAGTTAAAAGAAAGTACAAAGAATTATCTCTAGACTTTTGAACAGCCCACTAAGTTACATAAAGTATTTTCTGTCCCAACACTTTCTCTAATTCAAAAGATATTCAATCCCTAAGAACACAACAGAGTCTTCATTTCAAACCATTCACTCTGCTTCCACGGTGACATTGCGGGCCTCCTTGGCTACCATAAGTCGCATTAGTTGACTGTGGAATTTCTCAATCTTCTTTACATCTTGAGCTTGGTCTGTTTTATACACCAAACACTGTCAGAAATTTGAAAAGTACACATTAACTATGCAAAACTAGGTACTGACAATGTAGAAAACATATAACTGGGTAAAAATTTGAGTCTTCCTACCACTGTTTTGCTCTATTCTCTGGACGTTACACTAAGGAAACTGCACTCAAAAGTTTCCAAGTCTCCAGTAATTACATTCCTTAATGTATAGTACTTAAAATGCTACCTCTGTGGATGAAAAATTAAATGAAATCTATCAGAAGCTTCTCAATAATGACCAGTTAAGTACAATGTTAAATCCTGCTGTGGTCTGATTAGAATGCAAGGCTTAGAATTAGATATTTTCTCACTGGAATCCAACCGTAAGTAACTGAATTATGCCAGAAAAAAGCATAGAAATCTTAGGATCCCTTTGTTGGTGGAATTGGAATGTCTGATGATAGTTATTGTTTTTTTAAATCTAGAATTGTGTGTGCTAGTTGGTCAACACAGAAACCAAACCAAATAAATCTGTCTAATCTTGATCTTCTAAAGGTGTCTATTACCATCTGTTGTAGAATCTTCAAAAATACAACTTTAAGCTGGCAGCCCTTTTTCTCATTTTGTAATATAGGTAGGTTCATTTCTCTTTAGCTCATCTTAAAGGTTCACGTGAGTTTTAAACAATGGGGCTGGGCGTGGTGGCTCACACCTATGATCCCAGCACTTTGGGAAGCCAAGATGAGAGGATCTCTACAATAAATAAAAAATTAGCCGGGCATGGTGGCTTTTGCCTGTAGTTCTGGCTACTTAAAGGCTGAGGTGGAAGGATTGCCTGAGCCCAGCAGGATGAGGCTGCAGTGGCCATGAGCATGCCACTGCATTCCAGCCTGGGCAACAGTGAGACTCCAACTAAAAAAAAAAAAAACCAAAAAACCAAAAACAAAACCAAAGTTCATCCACACACTGTACAAAATTGTGCACTCTTAAAAAAGGCTATACTAATCTTTGCCATTCAAATTTTAGCATATGTGCTCCAGGAAAATGTACATACCTTCTCACTACAGAATCTGACAAAAAAGATTGCAGGTCCATACAAGACAAAATTATAAACCAAAGAATAATTAAAAAAAAAAAGTTATAAATCAGTTATAAGATTAGAAAAAAATGACTCACATATGGAATTATAAAAAGTCAGTTACATGGTGATAATAATTTATGCAGTCTAAGACGGAGTTTTCTGAAGGAATTAATAGCTACTAAAATGAATGAGGGAAGCTTTTCTTTAAAGGAGTCATCAGAAAATAGAATTTTACTGTTGTGGTTTATTAACACATCTCCTATTTAGGAGGATGATATAATTGCATCTTTAGTCTCTTCTAGACAGAAATGTATTCTCAGCAGTTTTAAGAAACAAAACAAAAAGCATTTTTCATATTTAGATCTTGTCACAGCACTCAGCAGTGTTAAATAAAGTTCTTTCTGATACTGCTTAACATGCATCCTTAACTATGTTTAATCATAACCAGAGTAAAAAGCCATCAACTGGAGACAAAGCCTTTTCTATTCAAATTAATTCTGCATTTCCTATTTTTTTTTTTTTTGAGTTGGAGTCTCACTCTGTCACCCAGACTGGAGTGTAGTGGCCGCTCTCGGCCACTCCAGCCTCGACCTACTGGGCTCCAGCGATCTTTCCGCCTCAGCCTTCCAAGTAGCTGGAACTACAGGCGCGCGCTACCACGCCTGGCTAATTTTTTGATGTATTGTAGAGATGAGGTTTCGCCAAGTTGCCCAGGTGGGTCTCGAACCTGTGGGCTCAGGCTATCCACTCACCTTTCACCTCAGCCTCCCAAAGCGCGGGATTACAGGCTGAGCCACTGAGGCCCGGCTACCTTCCTATTTTTAAAACAAGGCATATGGACTTCTCTTTGGCAAGTATACCTAACCACTCTGTGATCATCACAATTAAAAATTTTCTCAATGTAGAATGCTCAAGATTCAGGAATTCGTTTATTTAATCTACCAGTAGCAAGCACTAATTTTAGGTAGTTTCACACATTTTGTTCTCTTTCCACAACCCAGTTAGGTAAGTAGACTATCACAATGGCACTTAACAGATGAGGAAAAGGCCAAAGTGCTAGTAAACTGCTAAGCTAGAATTCAAATCTCTTGAATCTATGTCTAGCATGCTATACCTCAATTTACTCTTCCTTTTTCACATGCTCAGTTACTTTACCAAATTCCATTGGTTCTAAGACACAGTAATCATGAAAAGGTATGACTTCATGAAATCTCACAGTGGAACCCTGAATACAAATATAGTATATGACCAAAGACAAAAATTGATTTTTAAAATCACATTATAAACTGTAACCCTTTACACTAGGATGTCCCTCAAAGGAAACAATGTAAATCTAGCAAACCATTTGGATGTCCCCTCTCAGGGGACGTAAAGAGACTGCTGGTGATTATACAGGATAAACTTATGCCAGTGCAAATTTTTCAAAAATGTATGTTTTCTTCAAGTTTTCCATTCAAATTGCATGAAAAAACAAAGAGATGAAATACATACTGAGATATACATTTAAAAAAAATACCAAGCTGGGCTCGGTGGCTCAGCCTGTAATCCTGCAACTCTGGGAGGCTGAGGTGAGTGGATTGCCTGAGCCCACAGGTTCCAGACCTGCCTGGGGAACTTGGGGAGAGCTCATCTCTACAATAAATCAAAAATGAGCCGGGCGTGGTAGCGCGTGCCTGTAGTTCCAGCTACTTGGAAGGCTGAGGCGGAAGGATCGCCGGAGCCCAGCAGGTTGAGGCTGCGGTGGCCAGGAGCGGCCACTGCGCTCCAATGTGGGTGATAGAGTGAGACTCCAACTCAAAAAACAACAACAACAACAACAAAAAACAGCTGACATTACACAGAAAGAGAATGTATGAAGTGCTTTCACAGTGGTGCACAGACTGGACAATACATTACATATTATTGATGCAGGAGGAAGAAAACGAGACTGCATTGTCTTCTCAAAAAGAAAAAAGTCAGGTAGAAGACATCAAATTACTACTGCACAACATGTGTCAATGAACCTGCAATGCATGTTGGTGTCTGTTTCACATGATATCACACATTAGAAAATTATAAGATATAAAATGTTGATCCTTTTGGTTATAAGTTCCTCAGTGTTCAATATTTCATAATAAGCCAAGTATCATTACAATAAAATAATTCTTCCAACACTACACTATTTCATATGAAATGATTTGTTTTTCATTCTTTCATTAAAAAGTGCAGTCCTGCTGCTGGCAGGTGATTCACATGATGTCTCTAAGTGCAAAGGGTTAAAAGAACTAATCTATATTTACTATGTTTAGAGTACCCTCTGAGTCAAGACATTACAGTAGGTACTAGAAATACAGGTAAGAATATGATCAATCTATCTCTATTGTCTTAAACTCAATCTATTGTAAATGTCGGCTGGGTGTGGAGCCTCACACCTATAATCCCAGCACTTTGGGAGGCTGAGGCAGGAAGACTGCTTGAGCCTAGGAGTTCAAGACCAGTCTAGGCAACACAGTGAGACCTCATCTCAACAAAAAAATCAAAAAATTAGCTGGGCATGGTGGCACATGCCTGTAGTCCCAGCTACTCAGCAGGTTGAGGAGGAAGGACATCTGAGCCCAGGATAATGAGGCTGCACTGAGCCATGATCATGTCACTGCACTCCTGCCTGGGTGAGAGTGAGACCCCGACTGAAAGATAAATGTGATAAAGGAATTGTGATACAGCACAAAAAGAGTCCGAAAGAAAAGCAGCAAGCCAGGCTCAGTGGCTCAGCCTGTAATCCCACGCCTTTGGGAGGCTGAGGTGAGTGGATTGCCTGAGCCCGCGGGTTCGAGACCTGCGTGGGCAAGCGAGACCTCATCTCTACAATAAAATCAAAAAATTAGCCGGGTATGGTAGTGCACGCCTGTAATTCCAGCTACTCGGAAGGCTGAGGCAGAAGGATCACCGGAGCCCAGCAGGTCGAGGCTGTGATGGCCGGGAGCGGCCACTGCACTCCAGTCTGGGGGACAGAGTGAGACTCCAACTCAAAAAAAAAAAGAAAAAAGAAAAGAAAAGCAGCAGTCTTGCCACACTGGGGTGGGGTGGTATTCAATATTGCCAAGGAGGGAAAAAAATGTACAAAAGCCACAGAGGACTTACACAGCACAGCATATTAATGTAGTTCTTAATGCAGAAAAGACAAGATTAGAGGGGATGTGAAGGTGGAGGTTAAAGGTGTTTAAGCAAGAGGGTAACAATCAAATCTGCATTTTAAAAAATCACTGTGGGCCAGACATGGTGGTTCATGCCTGTAATCCCAGTGACTTGGGAGGCTAGTGCAGGAGGATCACCTGAGGCCAGGGAATTGGAGACTAGCCTGGAAAACACAGCAAGAGACCATGTCTCTTAAAAAACGTAAATCTCTTAGCTTGGTATGGTGGTGTGTGCCTGTAGTCCCAGCTACTTGGGAGGATGAGGCAGGAGGATCACTTGAACCCAGGAGTTGGGAGGCTACAGTGAACCACGATCAGGCCACTGTACTCCAGCCTGGGTGACAGTGAGACTGACACAAAAGAAAAAAAAAACCCACTCTGGCAGCAGTACAGGCTGAACTGAAAGCAGGAAAATAGTTAGGAGACTATTCTGATAGTCCAGGCAAGTGTGTGATCCTAAACTTAAGAGAGGAACAGTGGGCCGGGTGTGGAAGGCTCCAGCCTGCAATCCCAGCACTTTGCCTGAGCCCGTGAGTTCGAGACCAACCTGGGCAACATGGTGAGACCTCACCTCTACAATAAACCAAAACTTAGCCAGGCGTGGTAGCACATGCCTGTTATGGCTATTTGGAAGGCTGAGGCGGAAGGGTCACCTGAGCCCAACAAGTCGATGCCAGGGTGGCAGGGAGTGTGCCACTGGGCGATGGAGACTCCAATTCAAAGAAAAAAAAAAAAAGAGAGTAACAGTGAAGACATCAGAGTTCACCACAAAAAATGAGATGAAGGAGCTTGAAACAGTAATTCCAAATGCCTAGCAAAGCGTATGTATTCACAGTAGGGTATCAATTAAAGGGGACGTGAGGATGAGAGGAAGGAAGGAGTCAAACACCATCCCCACATTTCCAACCAGGTGGATGACAGAGCAATTGAAGGTAAAAAGAGAAGGAGCTCGTTTTAGAAAAGATGATAAGCTCCACTCTGGACAGGCTGTGAGAGGTATGTAAAGTAAGGATGCTCAACTTAAAGTTAGTAAGGAAGTCAGGAAAAAAAAAAACATGAGCTAAACATGCAAATATGCAAACAGATGTAGACATGGAAAGTCTCGAGAAGTGTGTGAAAAGACAATCAAGGACAGAATCCTGGGAAAACAATTATTTATGCAAGCACATCAAAGAAGTAATTAGTAAAGAAGAATGAAACAACAGAAACAAAAAACAAGAAAGCTAAGAAAAAATGGAGCCACAAGTGCCAAAATGATCATTTCCACGAAAAAGTGGTTTTGGTATCAAAAGCAGCGAGGTCACATAAGATATGAGCTGATGAGATCACTGGGCTTGAAAACAAAGAGGCTGATGTGCTCACACCAAGCACAGTGTCAGTGGAATATTCCGTGTAGAAACCAGATGGCAGACTTGAGGTGAAGGAAGGAATAGGATGTGACAAGAGTGAACAGATCAAGGGCAGGAGAGAGAGACAACAAAAGAGCCTATAACTTGTGTCATTTACTTTTCACATAAACAGGAAACTTACTTCTTTATATACGGTTTTGGTCTCTACATCCCTCTTGCTTGAGGGATGTAGAGATCTTAAGGTGTGAAGAGAGAAATTATTAAACTACACTTGACTCCTGCATTAATGAAGCAGGTTCAATTATTTCCTGAGAGTCCATAAAAGTAGCTTCTAGAAAAAGCTTCATTTTGTAATTAAACTAAAAAAAAATATCCTAAAGGGGTACTCTGCAAAAATTCTAAGTAAATAATTTCAAACAAATCTTCAAGTATGCAACAAGTAAAAATATATACTTACAACTGCATCATCTGTTACTTTAATACACAAACTCCCATCAGAATGCCTATATTTGAGAACCACACGTACCTGAAATAAAAATATATATTGAGAAACAGTGAAGACAGATGACATTGCTCATAAATAATTTAGTTATCAGGTGGGCTAAAAAGGATCCCTTTAGAACACTCAAAAACATCTAAAGGCACCTTTACTGTAAACTTATCAATTGAAATGAAGTTAAAAAAACAAAACAAGTCGGGTTCGGTGGCTCAGCCCGTAATCCCGGGCTTTGGGAGGCTGAGGTGAGTAGATTGCCTGAGCCCTTGGTTCGAGACCTGCCTGGGCAACTTGTTGAGACCTCATCTCTACAACAAATCAAAAAATTAGCCGGGCGTGATAGCGTGCTCCTGTAGTTCCAGCTACTTGGAAGGCTGAGGTGGAAGGATCGCCAGAGACCACTAGGTCGAGGTTGCGGTGGCCAGGAGCGTGCCACTGCACTCCAGTCTGGGTGACAGAGTGAAACTCGAACTCAAAAAATAAATAAATAAAATAAAATGAAATAAAAATACCCAATTTATGTCATCATTTTTTATCATTTATTTAATTGAGTGTTGCCCTGGCTGGAGTCATGACCATCACAGCTTCAACTTGCTGGCTCAGGCAATCCTTCTGCCTCAGCCTTCCAAGTAGCTGGAACGGGCACGCACCACCATGCCTGGCAATTTTTTTTTTTTTAAACTGTAGAGATGTGGTCTCACCAAGGTGCCCAAGATGGTCTCAGACCCTTGGGTTCAGGAATTCCTCTTACCTCAGCCTCCCAACGTGCTGGGATTATGGGCATGAGCCACCAGCATCTGGCAATCATATCATTCTATTGTAAAGAACAGAATTAAAAGCCTTAGAGCTTTCTGTTACTGATCCAGGTCTGTGAGTCTGATACCATTTTTAGTCATAATCAGTATCTTGCTGCAAAGTTTAAAGTAATAAGCATTGGCATTAACAGGTTACCAGCCCACTGCACACATTTAAAACATAATTTGTATTACTATGCATCATTAAAAGTAGTAAACATCGAGCCTCGTTTTCTGAGACTTATTAACTGTGTCTAATTTTCTTTCTTTTCTGAGCGGTATATTTACAACAGTTATTGTATCTTTTTTTGGGGGGGAGGTCAAAGTCCCACTCTGTCACCCAGGCTGGAGTGCAATGGCATGCTCACAGCTACCAAAGCCTCGACCTGCTGGGCTCAGGTCATCTTTCCACCTCAGCTTTCCAAGTATCCGGAACTACAGGTACACACAACCAAACTCAAGATAATTTTTTAAACTTACTGTAGAGAAGAGGTCTTGCCAAGATGCCTAGACTGGTCTCAAACCCTTGGGCTCAGACACTTCTCTTGCCTCCATGCCCAGTCACAACACAGTGTATCTTTAATACCCTCCAATAATGCCAGTTTCTTAAGAGTTAGGCCGATTCTTACCTTTTCTCTCCCACAGAACCTAATATAATTTGACTTGGGATTCAGTCACATGTGAGTGGGGAAAGAATGGAGTACAAAGAAGATGACTGGTTTACAATAGACAGAAAACACAAGGACATCATACATAACCAGAACTGGGGTGTCCAGCATAAAATCCCTTCAAAAACGCTGTGCTCTAAAAAGAAGCAGAACTTTAAATTAACAAGGAGACGCTTCAGATAACTTTTAGACATGACAAGAAAACAAGCAAAACTCAAGTGAGGAGGAAGAATCAAGATCCGAAGCTGGCCGGGTTCCATGGCTCAGCCTGTAATCCCAGCAATTGGGGAGCCCGGGTTCGAGACCCGCCCGGGCAACTTGGCGAGACCTAGTCTCTACAATAAATCAAAAACTAGCCGGGTGTGTTAGCGCGGGCCTGTAGTTCCGGCTACTTGGAAGGCTGAGGCGGAAGGATCGCCGGACCCCAGCAGGTCTGGGCGACGGAGTGAGACTCGGGGAAAAAAAAAAGACCCGAAGCTAAACTCGCATCGCTTGCACTTCTTTCATTTTTAAAAATGAGCTAACCTCCCGCATCCACTTCCTGTAACTTTTTGCGGGGGCTATGGATGTATTTCAGGGATCTATGAGCCCCGTAGAATTGTTGCCACTTACAAATAAGTGCATTTTTCTTTCTTTCTTTTTTGGGGGGGGGTTGGAATCTCACTCCGTCACCCAGGCTGGAGGGCAGCGGCCCCTCCCGGCCACCCCAGCCTCGACCTGCGGGGCTCCGGCGATCCTTCCGCCTCAGCCTTCCAGGTAGCTGGAACTAGGCGCGCCTACCACGCTCGCCTTATTTTGGGATTTATGGTAGAGGCGAGGTCTCGCCCCGTTGCCCAGGCTAGTCTCGAACCCCCGGGCTCCGGCAACCCCCTCATCTCGACGTCCAAAGTGCTGGGATTACAAACTTGAGCCACCGCGCCCGGCCCTTCCACCATGGCGACAGACGAAAAGGAAACCAAGGCCACCGAGGGGCCGGAAGCCGAAGCGGCAGGGGGCGGAGTCCTGGCCTCGGAGACGTAAAGCGGCCTAAGACAAAGGGAAGGTCAGAACTGGGCTGGTGGCCGAAGGCACTGCTGTTTTTACGGCTGCAAAGACCCTGCCTCGGCAGCTTCAAGGCCTCACTGGGCCGCCGGAGCAGGGACGAGAAGCAGCAAACGGCAGGAACAAGACTTGGCCGAGTCTGTTTCGGCTCAATCCTAGCACCTCCCGGGAGCGCTGGGGAAGCTCCGGGGGCCGTGCGGACGGCGGGATGACATCCTGTCCTGGGGCTGGGGACCGACGCCGCAGCCCCGCCTGCGACTTACCTTCATAGGGTCGGCGAGGTAGAGCTTCTCGGCCGCGCGGCTGAACTCCTCCCAGGCCTGGTACTGCGGCATCGTCGCTCGGGGTGGAAAAGGAACGACGCAAGGCGGCGAGACTCGGTTCTCCTTCTAGCTACCTCCGGCGACCACCGACCGTTGCAGGGCTCCCAGCAGCACTAAGATGGTGGCGCTTCTCCGCATCAACGCCTCACCTTATTGGACAATCCCGACCACGCTTGCCCAATAGGAAGGAGGGATGTTGCACAGCGGAGACAGAGCCTCGGGCGTGTGGCGCTGGGACCTGGCCCAGAGAAGCCGAGAGCGGGGCGACCGATGGCGGGTGCCACAGCGCCGCCTCTAGGATTGGAGGTACAGCGCCTGTTTCGCCAGCCTCTGGGCCGGAACGCAGGTGCCTTCCACTATGATATGGCTCGGTGATAGGCGCAAAAAAAGAGTTGCAAAAAAAGAGGCAGCCAGGTCCAGCCTTCACTCTCACAACCCAGGGGTTCGAGACCAACCTGGACGATTTAGTGAATCCTGCCCCTAATTTATGTCAAGTCAGTGGGGGCACAAAGGAGGAATGATTACTTGTGGAGTAGGAGCCAGCTCATAGAGGTGACGTAAGCTAAACAGGTGGGCAAGGAGGGGCAGGACACCTAGGCCCATTTTAGGTCTGCAGGGTATTTAATATGACTGTGTTCAGGGGATGAGGGGGTAGGGAAGGAGCCGTGTAATCACTTATGCCAAAATAAGAAGTTTGAACTTTGTTCTCCAGGCAATGAGCGACATCGAAGGGTATTTTTCTTTAATCAGGCTTATTGAGGTATATTTTATACACAATAAAGCACCGATTTTAAGCATGCAGTTTAATACATTTTAGTAAAGGTATATATTCACATACCTAATACCACAATCAAGATATTGAACATTTTTTATCTCCAAAATTTCCCCCATGCTTCTTTATATTCAGTTCCCTCACACCCACCCCTAACCCCAGACAATCAATGATTTGCTCTTTGCTACACTAGATTGGTTTTTCCTGTCTATTGACGAGCTTTAAGCAGATTTGTATTCTATAGGGTTGCAGGTACACACCAAGATTGAATTGAAGTGGTATAAACCTGGAGACAGGGAGACCTCTTAAAATGGTATTGCAATAATATGAGCAGGACTCACAAAAACTGGAATTTATTTATAAAAATTTTTGTATTTATTCTTACATGTTTAAACTTCAGTCACCTTAAAAGTACTCTCTGTTTGATGCAATATACCTATGGAGATGCTTTTTTTCACTGCTCACATCAGTTTTTAAACTCGTCAATTTTGATACTTTCTAGTGCTTCTGCCATTTTTGTTTGTTTGTTTCACATCTTCCACATTGGCAAAACGTTTCCCTTTGAGGACTTTCTTCATCCAGAAAAACAAAACAAAAAAATCACTCAGGGAGAGATCAGGTGAATAGGGAGGGTGGGGTACGGGGGTCATGTCGTTTTTTTGGTCAAAAACTTCTGAATACTCAACAAGGTATGGGCAGGTACACTTGTAAATCACCTATCATGAATTGAACAAATGTCTTGAAAGAATCTCAAAAAAAAAAAAAATTCACTGAAGCCAAATGCAGCCTCTCATAATAACATTAGCTAGTCCACTGATGCCGATGGGTTCCTGGAACACTTACCTAGCAGGGAATCCTGTACTACAAAAGGCCCACACTCCAAAAAATAATTCCACGGTTTTTTGGGTCTCCCCTCATAGAAGAGTGGGAGTGGGATGCCATTGATTGATACAGAGGGAAAGGAAAAAGAATCAGTTTGGAGGATATTGAGGGAGACAGTGAGTTCAGTTCTGGACTTGATGAGCATGAAGTGTCTTTGGAAAATCCAGGTGGAGATGTCTGGTAGCCCAGACAAGTCAGCAGATAGGTCATAGCCGAGCCTTCTCAGGGAGCATAAGGAGGCAAGACTAAGGATAAACCCTGGGAAATAGATACATGTACAAAGGGTTAGAGAGAAGGAGGAAGAAGAGTCCACAAAGAAGACAGAGGAGAAATTGTCAGGAAGAAGAGCCTAGGAGGGTCCAGAAAGTGAGGGGAAAAGAGGGATTTGAGGAGGCAGCAGTCAGTTATGTCAGATGGCAGGTAGGGTGCAAGTACAATGAGAACTAGAATGAGTCAATCAACCATAGTTACACGGAAGTCATTAGTAAACTGGGCCAGTGGGGCCTCAGTTGGGCTAGATTTTGGGGGGAAATGACTGCAAGAGTCTGAAAAGGTAGAAAAGTGAATAAGAACTCTTATCATGAACAGAAGAAAAGATAAGAAGTTAGTTCAAAGGGGACACCTGGTAAAGAGTATTATGTTTTGAGATAGAAGGATTTTGTGCATGTTAATAACTTTCAGGGAAGGACAAATAAGAGATGGAGAGATTAAAAATACAAATGAGCCGGACTCGGTGGCTTAGCCTGTAATCCCAGCACTTTGGGAGGCTGAGGTGAGTGGATTGCTGAGCCCCGGGTTCGAGACCCGCCTTGGCAACTTCGCGAGACCTCATCTCTACAATAAATCAAAAATTAGCTGGGCATGGTAGCGCGCGCCTGTAGTTCCAGGCGCTACCTACTTGGAAGGCTGAGGCGGAAGGATCGCCAGAACCCAGCAGGTCGAGGCTGCAGTGGCTGGGAGCGGCCACTGCACTCCAGTCTGGGTGACAGAGTGAGACTCCAACTCAAAAAAGAATAAAAATAAAAATAAAAATGAAGGAAAGGAAGATCTCAGGGAATAGGCAAGTGTAGTGACATCATGTGCTTGTGGTCCCAGCTACTTGGAAGGTTGAGGTGGGAGAATCACTTGTTGAGCCCAGGAGTTTGAGACCAGCCTGGAAGATATACTAAGACCCTGTGTCTTAAAAGAAAGAAAGAGAGAGAGAGAGAGAGAGATCTCAGGGAAAACATGAAGAGGAAGACCAAAGGCCCAGAAGAGTGAAAACAGAAGGTTTACCATTGCCTTTGAGCTGGTGGGAAGGGAGGAGAAGTTGGGTGAGGGTATAGTTGAGCATGCAGATATGAGGACAAGAAGGCACATTTTCACCTAAGAAGCAAGACCATCTTCTAAAATAGGAAGGTAGTGATGGGTCTGGAGCCTTGAGGAAAAGACTTGGGAAAGCCACTGTGAGAAATGAGTGAGAAACTCCAAAACAGTGTGTCAAGCAGAGCTGAAAGCCCAGCTGAAATTGGAGATCATTCTCTGGGAATAGCCCCAGTGAGGGCCTGTCTCCAGCACCACCCAGAAGCCTTGGTCTTGAAATGGAAAAGGCACATGTTAGGGATTTATAGGGCACAAAGGCAGAAGAACAAAAGGTCAAGGAAATTGAAGGTCCCAGCAAGAGAGTGATTGAAATGATAAGACACTGAATTCAGGCAGGGCAGGTAGTAATTAATTAGGTCAAAAGAGAGAGGTTAAGAGACCAGGTTTCAAGGAAATCTGAAGTCAACATAATATGAAAGAGGAACTGAAATTATAGTCAGATTGGATATTAGGGTTTAATATTTCAGAGAAGCAGTAGTTCCTGGTGAGGCTGGACTGATGGTTGGGTTGTCCACACAAATGTTAAAGTCACTCATGAGTAAGAAATGGGATAAGATGACGAAGAAGGCTGTGAGCAAGGGACGGACCCAAATCCTCAGTTAATGAGAATGGTGTGTGTGTGTGTGTGTGTGTGTGTGTGTGTGTGTGTGTGTGTGTGTCTGTGTGTGTGTGTGTGTGTGTGTGTGTGTGGGGGGGGAAACGC